CCCTGTGTCTCTGAGCTTGATAATAATGTGTAAATCACTTTATGCATTTTAAGATTCAGTTTGGTAATCTTTTCTATTTTGAGTAGTCTTGTATCTAAATTCACAATAAATATTGTCTGTAGGGCTTTTTTATTTTTTTTCCCTTTACTGTCTTTTTTTTTTTTGGTTTGATATCAAGGTAATACTGGTCTTATAAAACAAGTAAGGAAATGTTCTCTTCTGTCTATTTTCTAGAAAACACTGTACTAGAGTGATACAAATTCTTTTTCCAATCTTTGGTAGGTTTTTTCCAGTGCAACTATCTGGTCCTGGAGATTTCATTTTGGAGAGCTTTTCAATTGTGAGTTAAGTTTTTATCGACAGTTCCACGACTATTCAGATCATGTATTTCATTTTGGTTGAGGACTTTTCTGGCAGTATATGACTAAGAAATTGCTCACTCCTTGGAAGCTGTTCAATTTATTAGTCCAAAGTCATGCCAGGTATTTACTTACACGATCCTTTTGATGGTCAGTAGCTACATTCCCTATTTAATTCTTGATATGGGTAATTTATGACTTTTTAAAATTTTTGTCTAAGTGAGTCATTTTAATTTAGCCTTATTCGAAAAATTTTCATCCCATTTTTATATTTGTAATGCTTAATATGTCAGGAAGAACTAACATTTTGAGATATTTTGAAATAATAATGACTTTTTAAAAATGTGTACGTTCCTTACTAAAAATATTAAACAATTCTGAACACCAGAGAGAAGTAAACAATCAGTCAGAAATCTTTCCACTAAAAATATCCCTTGACTTATAATATTCAAAATTCCTCTGATAGAGACAGATAAAAATATAAGATAATAACAAGTTGGATAAATAGACAGATATTTTTCTCTTACATGGATAGCACCATATATGCTATTTTAAAACTAAATTATATTTAATTTTAATAAAATTAAATGAAAAAAATAAGTTATACTGTATTAGTAGTAATTCCTAAACTTTAAAAAAATTTTCAACAGAAAGATAAAATTATAAAATACTTCTTTAAAAATAGAGAAAATTAATTGTAAAAAATTGTGATGAAATTAAAGATAAGAGTTTTTTCTCAATAATATGCTTTGATAAGGTCCATTAACTTCTTGCTGAGAGAATTACTGTAGTTGAACTCCTTCATAGTTTTCCTCTTTCCACTTCTTCAATTTAGTGAGAGAACAATGTTTACATAGTCAAACTTTATAATACTGTTGTTCTGCTCTAACTGCTAGATTTATTTAAAAGTAGATATGATAACCATTAAAATCACATTTGACTAGAGCTCCAGCATTCATGTGAGTAGAAGAAGCCATCCATTAGTTATGAGAATTCCACAGTGAAGTAGAATTTTGAGGACATTCATATCTGTTATATGTTTATTATGATTTTGAATAACTAACTGTTGCCTTGAAAACCTGAAACAGACAAAATAGGAAAAACAAACATACCTGGGTCACTCTTTCTCTTTGGCACTACCTGATATTGTGAAAAACTCTAAATAGAGCTTCATTTTTTTCCTTGTATGTAAATTGCTTTGTCTGCTTATATATACCCACTATTATTTGTTTCCCAAAGTTATATACTATGATCAGAATATATTTCAGGGTTAATTATTTTCTACCGATTTTTTCCCCTAAAACAATTGTAGAGTGTTTTTCCCCTTGCGTGTTTAACAGTCTTTATTTCAGGAAATTAACTTCTATATTGCTATTATATCTCTGATTAATTTTTTTTCTTCCATTTTATTTTTAAAGAGCAACAGTTGCAAAAAGTAGCATCCTGGTAAATATGTAGAAACTAGTTTTTAAAAAATTATATAGTTTTGTCAACTCTTGTGGTGTAAATATTTCAACAAATACTGATTTGAATGGTTTACTATGTCATGTTCCTGGAGAAGGAGTTAGGAAGAGGTATCTATATCCCATCAACTCTTGACAGATGGTGCATGCCCATTCAAGCACTACTAGGTATCCAGTTACTGGATCTCCTTTGATTGTTTTCCATATAATTTTCATATAACAGGTTTTATATTTTTGTTAGTAGCTCTGTACCTATCTATCTATCATTGTGCGTAGTCTTTGTCCTACTCTTCTATCTTTTTGGAAGCTTCATGACTTCCATATCCCACCCAACTCTGCTCTTTTGTCATTTATTTTGGTCTTACTGTTTCTTGTTTAAGTTCTTATTTTTAAGTTTTTGTTTGTTATTGTTGTTTGCTTGCTTTTGCAATTATAAGAAACTGCTCTACTACTGAGGTGCATCTCCAGCCCTCTTTTACTTTTTTTTCAAATTTATTTTGAGAAAGCGTCTTGGTAAGTTGCTTATACTGGTTTTAAACTTGTGATCTTTTTGCCTCAGTCTCCTGAGTATCTGAGATTATAAATGTGCCAAATTGTGTGACAAATTCTTACATTCTGTGATGCTTTTTGTAAAACATATACATTATCTTTAATTATGGTATAGATTATATTATCTTTAATTTCACTGAAAATATAGAAAAATATTTGTCTAAACTTTTCTCTGTTTCCTCAGGTAATTCTTCTTCTGATGGATGTTCTTCATCTGTTTTTGGAGAAGGGTAATGAAAATCAGCTGGGGCAGTCTGGACTTTCTAGTGTGTTATTTTAAATATTTCCCAAAAATCCACTAATTTCTCTACTCTTCAAACATACCTTTTTCACAACTTTTGATGTTAATAATGTTGGCTGAAATATTGACTAGTCAATAGTTCTATTTTATTGAAGATACTCTTCAATTCACCATTTGACAGTTATTTCCCCCCTCAAAATTACAAATTACAGAAATAGATTTTGACAGCAGATAATATCATGTTTTTAATGGTAGACAACACATGCAAGTTCAATGAAGTATAATTAAACACTTCATACACAAAATGTCTAAAGCTAGACTTATTCTCAAAATTGCTGATTACTGATTATTTTCTAAGTTTTAATTCTCCAGAGAAAAGAAAAAGTCTACCATCTGTTGAAAAAATAAAGTTTTTAATCCTTCTAACAAATCAGTAGAATACTATCTTTTGTGCTCAAAAGTGCTCTATCCAATAAATGTGTTAGGGTAGTGGACAAAGGAAGGTTTTTCCCAGATCTCCCTCAAAGGAAAGACTCATTACTTCAGCTGCTGGAACTCCTGCTAACAGAAGAGATAACTCCAGCTGTTATCTCTTTCAGGGACTGTCACAGCCTGAGCTTTCTGTCTCAATTCATACCTGTTCCAGTAGCAGCTCGCACTCAATGATTGGTTTGGAGGTATAAAGGACTTACTATCTCCTACTACTCAGGGCAATTCTAAGGTTTTCTTGGTCCTTGAACTCTCACGGGGGCATCCTAGACTATTATTTGTCTGCACCACAACTTGGCTTCTACTTCTGCCCATTCTTGTTTCTGGGATCTCCTACCCATAACGCTAGTCCTTTGTCAGTATTCTGCATACTAACCTCACAAGGAACAACCTAATATATAAAGCAAACCCTGAGAACTGTGTGTGATGGAGTATTTGCAGAAAAAATACTATTATTCACCCATAGTTTTCATTTTGCACAATTCCAAAATGAATTTGATGCAGCTAACAAAAATCACCTAATTTAACCAGTAGAAACAACCGCAAAACTTTTATGTATAACAGGAAGTCTATTGTGATTTCAAGTTCAATATTTCAAATCAAACTTTTAATTGATACCAGCCAGACACAAATGAACTACAGCTCAATAAAATATTTTCTGGCTTTTACATCTGTACGAGCAAAAACAGAATACAGGTAATCATGGTAGCAAAGGAGTTGGTGAATGGGGAGTTAGGGCTACGTGAGCATCTTTGAGAATAAAGACTGATTTATGGGATCGGACACCACTTGAACTAGCTCCTCAGGGCAATTTGGGGATACTAAGGATGCACAAAGGTGTGGCTTCTTCATTTCGAAGGCTGAAACCTCATGGGTGGTTTTGTGACTGCCTTCCTTTCCGTACCATGTGACCAGCAAATATTCTCAGCAATGCTGGAGTCTTCCAGCAATTGGGAGGGGAGAAGGCAACTGAGGCATTTCAGTTGAACCAGAAAAGAATCATTGCACGCTTCAACTGAAATATCACTCAAAAGCCTGGCATCTCTTGGTTGCAAAACGCCCTACACTGAATCTTAACTGGGCGAGCCCAGTCTTGTCATTACATGTGCAATGAACTGACTGATTTTCACTCTTTTTGTCCCTGCTCAGGGAAGTCAGGGGAACAGGCAAGACAGACTGGTTCAGACTTGAGTAGAACAGGTCAGCTGACAAGGCGTTTGGTAGCCCACGAGCAAAGCGAGCTCGAAGAGTTGCGAGAACCCATGTTCCCTAGTTACCAAATTCTAAATCCGAAAGTAGCGGGTCTGTGCAGTGTGTGCTGCCGGGAGCTTTCTCGCAGCTGTGCTTCAGCTACCTCAGGGACACCTTCACCTGAGTCACCACTGCCATCTGAACGCAGGCGGGGTCTCCGTGGACCCCAGAAACCATTGTTGAGCTGTTTGGTTAAAGGATGTGACCAGCGGTCACAGCTGGGAGTTTCCTCTGTCTTGCTCCTCCAGAGGGATCAGAGGACCAGCGATTAGTCAGTTGGCTTGCAGAAGCCCCGCCCCAGCTAAGGGATCAGAATCCGCATTTCAATCCAAGGCTCATTAAAGTGGAGAGGCTGGAGTTCAGGTGGTGGCGAATAGGCCCGCCTGCGGACCTGCCTCTCGGTCCTCCTGCTCCCATCTAAGCTAGCCTCTTAAGCAACTCTCAGCCTCGCAGCGTCCTGCACAAAATTTCGCCCGATAGTGTGGGGAGGGGCAAAGCTGCCCCTGGAGGAGGTCGGGAGGGAGACCGATCCGATTGGCTGCTCTGGCCAGCTCTGGGGATAGACACGCCCCCCGCTCCACCCTCCAGCAGCTGTAACCCGCCTCCAGCCGGCTGCCTCGAAAACCCGGAGAAGCTGTGCCGCTCCTGTACAGGGCTCCTGGGGAGCAGCCGGGCAGCTGGGCATGCTCAGTAGCGGGGGAGATTTGGGTGGAGAGTAGCAAGCTTTGGCTCTGCCCCACCTCCCGCGCTAGCCCCCGCCCCCTCACCCCTACCCAGCCGTAGTAGTTCCCCAGCTCGCCGGAGACCGGGAACATGGCGCTCGGAGCGATGTAGCGCGAGGAGAAGGGATGAGGCTCCGCCGCCTCACGGGCAGCCGGCAACCAGGTAGAAGGGTGCGTCCGGGGCTGCCTGGGTGGGTGCTGGCGCGAGGAGGGCAGTCCGCAGGGATGCGCACGACTGGTACCCGAGGCATCCTGCTTTGCCCGGAGAGGATGCGCAGGGGACCTCTGTGACAGCGCGATCGTGCATCTGCTAGGAGATGCCGAAGGCTAGGGACCCACTGCGATAGCCCCTTGATACGAGGACCGCCCACCCCCCCAAAAGCTACCATCCTGCCTGGGCTCCTACCGGTCAAATAAAGGATAGTTCTTTTCTGCTGGGCAGGAGGGCGTGGGAGAGGACCCCGATCCCAGCCCTGGGAGTGCGCTGGTACCCCGAAAGGCTGGCAAGCCCAGCTCCCGTTCTTTGTGTAGACAGCTCTGCACGCCTGGCCCGGGGGTGCCAAGTGCCTGCTTTTCCCGAGGAGTGTTGGAAATATTGATAAGGCAGGATTCCCATGTGGCTTTCTCTTTTTGGCAGGTGTGGACTGCAATTTGCAGTAGCCTAGCCTTGATGGGGCTGTTTTCCTTTGTTATTTGCTTCGATGTGTCTGTGCGTGTGGTGGGTTGTAATGGAGAGACAGAGAACTTCTGCTCGTGGGCACTGATGTGGGCAAAGCGTGGAAAAGAATACTGGTTCCAAAACTGTTGTCAAAATTGTATGCAATGTCAGCCTCCTGGAGGGTAAACTTGAAAAGTCTGGGGCTCATCCGTGCTCAGTTTGAAGGAGCGGGATCATCCCTGAAACCGTGTGTGTGTGTGTGTGTGTGTGTGTGTGTGTGTGTGTGTGGCTTTAAACATGGGAGGTGGATTAATTCACTAACTTATATCCTAATTAAGGGACTTTGAAGCATTGGAGTTATTTGAGGTGGTTATTTTAAAGAAAAACAGAGAGAGAGAGAGAGAGAGAGAGAGAGAGAGAGAGAGAGAGAGAGAGGAAGAGAGAGAGCAGGAGGGAAAGAGAGAGGGAAATTGGCACAAAACCAAAGGAAAATGTCATCATTAATAGTTGGTGACAGCTGAGAAGACTGAATATACTTTGGGGGAAATGGGAAATCCTGGCATTCCACAGCGTTCTACCAAGAAATAGCCACAGGGTCTTAGGTAATTCACAAAATCTCAGCATGTCCTTCTCCCTTCTGGGATTTAATGGTGGTGGAGACACTTTCTTTTACCTGAGTCCAGATGGACAAGACTCTTTCTACAGAAGCCTCTCCTGCACTGGAATTCTACAAACTTGGCGTTCAATAATAACAGCTGTGCCACCTTACATTTGTATGCCTGTTATATTTGGCAGCACAACCCACTGAGTTAAAGAGGAAAGGTAAATTTAGAACACACCTTTATTTTTTATTTTACTCTATAAAGGATGGGCCTCTGTCTGTGAACACGAAGTTTAGACATATTTTCCTCTGCACTTATACTATTTATTTTTATGGTCTTGTTAGGTGGCAAGGATGAGTCAGTATCATCAAAAAAATGGGAACTGCATAAGAAAAATGCATTTCAGTCTATTAAAGCCATAAATATCCAATCATATAATAATACCTTGACTCAGAATTCATCTGTGCAAGACAGAGGCTCTGCTAATGGAGCAATAGAAATTGATGGCAAGTTCAGTGGTAGGATTGGCCTTAGAATTAAAATTTTGTGTTCTTCTGTGGATGGGAAGAAACTCATTGTACTCAAACTTGTAACTTGTTATTTTATGAATAAATGTGAGCTTCAATTTCAGACGCTGAAAACTCAGCAGTGCCTGTCCTTCCCTTGCAGCTTGATGAAATGCTAGAGCTATTAGAGGAAGAGCTGAGTTTCAATTCTGACTCTTGCACGTTTAGCTTCATGAGCTCAGACAAGCTATTTAACTTCCCCTAACCTTAGTCTCTTCACCTGTAAAACAGATTTAGGAATATTAAGATCTACCAAAATTGATATTTGTGGGGAGTACTCATAACATAAACCACAAAGAAAATGATGGGGAACATTAAGAGAAGAAAGGAAATGTATGTTTATTGAACCCATATGATATGCTCCTTATAGAAATCAGGTTCAAACATGTGGATTCATTTAAGTCTTCCCAATTGTTTCAGTTTTCTAAGATTGCCATAACAAATTACCCAAAATTTGATGGCTTAAGCCAATCGAAATTTATTCCTGTACAGTTCTGGAGGCCAAAAGTCCAAAATCAAGCTGTGGCAGAGCCATGCTCCTTATGGAACCTCTAAAAGAGAATCCTTTTCTGCCACTTTCAGACTCTGGAAGCCTCAAGCCAGTATTCCTTGGTTGTGATAGCACAACTCCAAACTTTACCTCCATCTTCACATGATTTCTTGTCTCTGTGTCTGTGCTTGTGTCCAGATTCACTTCTTTGTATAAAAACACCCTTCATGTTGTATTTAGAACACACCCTAATTCAGTATGACTTCAGCTTACCTTGGTTACATCTCCAAAGACCCTGATTTCCAAATAAGGTTACATTTATGGTTTCTAATCCAACATGAATTTTGAGAAGACACTATTCAACCTAGTGTGCCAATATCTGCAATAATAACAATGTTAAAATTATGTCAATATTAGAACAAAAAGTAAAGATAGAATTGCAAGGGTTCAGAAAAGACAAATGGTTACTTAATCCAACTAACTTCGTTTGTGCTTTATTCTGACCTATGGTAGTGGTAGAGAAGGGCAGAGTTCACAATACTCGATTTATACATGCCACTTGTCTGGAAACCCAGACAATCAGGGGTTTGGGTTTTCTACAGGTATCCTAAATATATCCTGTCCCAAATGTTTGGTGATGTTGGCTTCTTCCCTTTATGCTACCTTACCATCACAACGCAAAACAAACAAAATAACAGCAGTAACAAAGATATCTTATCTACTTTATAGGGTTGTTTTTGGTATGAATGTTTGAACCCAGGACCTTTGTACTAAGCTATATCACCATTCAAGTTTTTATTTTTTTTATTTTGAGGCAGGGTTTCACTGAGTTGCCCATCCTGGGCCTCAACTTGAGATCTTCCTTCAGCCTCCTAGAATGTTGGGATTATAGGTGTGGAACACTACACCCAGCTCCATCCTAGTCTTCTGTTTTTGGTTTTGCTTTTCTTATCTTGGTTAATGGTATCCCTGTGCCCAGAGCTGTTTTAGCTAGAAGCCCAAAGATCATCTCTGACACCTTTATTCCATTTATTCTCCACACCCCAAAGCATCACACGGTTTTATAATTCTATCTTCTATATAGATCTTGATAGATTCTTCTTTCCATTCCCGCTATCACCATGATCAAATTCAAGTCATCATCATTTACCCAGACCATGAGTACATCTTCCTAACAAGACCCCTAGCTCTTTGGTTGGCTTTTCCAATCCTTCATCCCTAGCATGTCAGTTCTCCGCATAAAATTTCACCTATACACTGGGGCAATTTCCAGAGACTCACAGGGTCTCAGGAGTCTGACCTTAGGCATCTCTTTCTCTTGTCACTATCACAATGAGCTGATATCTACTTCCTCAAACATCCCAAATGCTTTTCCCTATATTTTTCCAACCCAACCTGTACTTATCTTTTGGACTTTCCTGACTTCTATTACTCTCTCATCTTCTCTTTTATTTTCTTCCATAGCATTTACCTCCTATTATTTCTCATTCATTTGGCTGCTAACTGTCAAAACTTTCCATGGTGGCAGTTTATTTTGTGTCCTGTAAGAACAAGATGTTCAACCAATATTTGGTGTGTGAGTGAAGGAATGAATAAACTGTATAGCATGTTTTGATGCTAATTTAACAATCTTACTTTTTAGAAGCTTTTTTTTTTTTTTTTGATCATAAAAAGGTCTATTTAGAATCTCATCCTGACTTCAAAAGGAGAGTATTCTTGGCTTTAACAAATCCATCTTCTAAGAATTGGTTATATTAGCAGTTAAAAATTAAGTCAAAATATTGTGCGGCAACTGGAGATTTATAAAATATATCAGCCAACAAATATTATGCATTTATATAATATCCATGCAATATATATATATATATATATATATATATATATATATATATATTTTGCATGGATATTATTTGCATATGCCAGATCCAAAGAAGACATTGATGAACTAGGCTTTTAAACTTCTGCACATCCATAATACATACAACATCAATACTACAATCATACTACATACAATGCTAAATGAATGATTTGGTCAGTTACTGAGCTTCTATTATGTGCCAGATCTTCTTCAGTCCTAATCATCACTATAGTTCCCTAACCTTTCCAATAACACATAACCCTACATTTATTAGGAGCATAGCAAATATTTAATACTCAGTAATTGGTAATTGCTATTAAATGGCCCTGATGTTTTTCAAAATAAGGCACTTAAAGAAATGGAATCTGCCCAGATATAGAAGAGAGGCATTTTTTTTTTTTCTGAATCTGTCTGGGTGAGTGCTATTCTGTTTTAAAAAATAATCTTGGTCAATGTCATTTGAGTCAAAGTAAAAGATAAACTGCTCTTTATAGAGCAACATATTTCTGATGGGTTTTTGTGAAAATTCTTAATTGTTTTATTATTTCATTTAATTTATTTAATCCAAAGGTAAAGTAACTTCATGTCTCATAGAAAGTCCTTTTGATAGTTTTGGATAGCAAGACTACATGCCTGGGTAAATTAATATAGTTTAATATAGAAACACATATAATATTTTGGATTCCTAGAATGGCTTCAACTTCATGTCCTTTTATTATTCTCATGAAAATTGATTTTTAAAAATAATAAAATTTGCTTAAGTAAAGATTTTCTTGTAAGTAACCAACAATTATAGAGTGTGCTTTGATTTTGTTTAAAAATGATGGGTATACTGTTGCAACAGCCAAAACCTAAAGTAACTATAGAGAGATTTCACTAAGGTGATTGGTTATAAAATACATATTCAAAAGTCAGTGGCTGCCTCAAATACCAGCACTTACCAACCAAAGCCTAGAATGGAGAATGATCCTATTTTTGAGACCACAAAAATGGTTAC